AGAGCCTGCCGGCGCCCAGCCCCTCTGCCCCGTGCCCCGCGGAGGGGACGGCGGGGCCTGTGGACTGCACCCCCGGGGGGGACCTCGCCAAGGCGCCGCCGGCCCCGCCGCGGGGGCGAAGGTGCTTCCACGTGGTCCTCACCGACTCGCGCTGCTTCCTGGTCTGCATGTGCTTCCTGACCTTCATCCAGGCGCTGATGGTGTCCGGCTACCTGAGCAGCGTCATCACCACCATCGAGAGGCGCTACAGTCTGAAGAGCTCCGAGTCCGGGCTGCTGGTCAGCTGCTTCGACATCGGGAACCTGGCGGTGGTGGTGTTCGTCAGCTACTTCGGCGGGCGCGGGCGGCGGCCCCTGTGGCTGGCCGTGGGCGGGCTCCTCATCGCCGTCGGGGCCGCGCTCTTCGCCTTGCCTCACTTCATCGCCCCCGCCTACCAGATCCAAGAGCTGAACGCCTCGGCCACCAACGACGGCCTGTGCCAGAGTGGCAACTCCACGGCCACGGCGGCCGTGGGGCCTCCTCCCTGCCCGAAGGACTCCGGAGGAAACAGCCACTGGGTCTACGTGGCTTTATTCGTGTGTGCGCAGATCCTCATCGGGATGGGCTCCACACCTATTTACACCCTGGGACCAACCTACTTAGATGATAATGTTAAGAAGGAAAATGCGTCCTTGTACCTGGGTAAGGATTTCCTCTTCTCTCGGATAAGTTTGACTCACACCGAAACTTACTTTCCTTCCAAAAATCAGAATGAAAGATGTTATTTTACACTGAAAATATGCTGTTAATTAAGGTTCACTTTTTATTTTATGTTTTTAGCTTTGGTGTGGTGTGTTTTGGGTTTGGGAGAGAATCAGTTAAGAGCACTTGGAACTAATTTTTAGACTCACATTTGTCTTCCTAAGTAATACAGATTTTTTTTTTTTGGTCTTTTTGAGACAGGGTCTCATGATGCAGTTCAGGCTGGCCTTGAGCTCACTTTGTAGCCCAGGCTGGTCTCGAACTCGAAATGATCCTCCTGCCTCAGCCTCCCAAGTGCTGGGATTACAGGCATGCACCACCACGCCGGCATAATACAGATTTAAAACTCTGGGACCGTGTGTCTCTCTCTTGCTGGCTATCTTCGGAAAAGTTCTACTTTATCAAGTTTATTTTCTAGTAGCTGTCCATCCTCAGAAGGGTTCAGGAAGGGAGACATAATAGTGTGTGAAGTTCTGAAGTCCTAACTGCTTTGGTCTATTGTTGCCTTTTATTCTTGTCTCCAGCAGAGATAATGGTAGTTGGATCCCATACATCTGTCTTTATTACCTGCACATCCATATTCTGTATATGTCACCTGCTTTGCTTTTAAAAACACCAACAAAATCCTGAAAGGCCACATGACTAGCGTATTTTCAATGCAGAAGCAATACCACAAGTTGTAAGGTTACCTAAAGTTTTTATTGTGAATTGAGACCCTCAGTGACATGAACTTGGGAAAATTAATGGCTGTCTTCTGAAGATAGCTCTGGAGTTTGGTGCTGACTTCACAAATCGACACCAGTGGACAGAGTGCTTGGCTTAAGTACAGGGTGCTCAAGGGAAGCCAAACAATTAGGGTTGGGGTAGTTTAATCCCAAGAAATAAATCTGTATGTCCCTGTAGTAGCTGCACCTTCAAAACTAAACCTCTAAGGGGTGGATTTTTTTTTTTTTTTTTTGGTACCAGGAATCGAACTCAGGACCTTGTGCTTGTCAGACAGATGCTGTGTCGCTGGGCTATGTCTCCGGCCCTAAGGGATGGAGTTAGACCCGTGAAAAGGGTCATTATCTGTCACACTGGATGTCTTTCTGTTTCACTACTAGAGTTCAACTCAAACAAGATAAAGGATTTTACTTTATTAAAAGATGGTAAATGAACGGTTAGCTACGTTAGTCATTGACTGGTTATGTGCTGATAGGATCCCAGGTCCTCACTATGAATGGTGAGATGGTCAAAGCACGGTGAACAGATACTCCGGGTAAAAGGGTCATGCTTTGTCCTCCGCAGAACCACAGTTCCCCGCAGCTGTTATAGAGGGGTGTTTGAATCCCAGTCCTCAGTGAATGGCCAAATGCACTAGGAAGAGTTTTGTGACTTATTTGTATTGTCAGTGCAAGAGAAAGAAATTTCCATTCTGGGCAGAAAATCATGTGGGTGTTATCTTACCTCCATGTCTTCCAACACTATGAAAAATTTAAACATAAAGTTGAAATGATAGTATAGTGAACACCAATATATCCAGCACCTAGACTTAGCAATTGTTCATTTTGTCACATCTGCGTGTATATGCGTATAGAAACTTAATTTTTTTTTTTTTGTCTTTTTGAGACAGGGTCTCACTATGCAGTGCAGGCTGGCCTTGAGCTCACTTTGTAGCCCAGGCTGGCCTTGAACGCACAACAATCCTCCTGCCTCAGCCTCCCGAGTGCTGGGATTACAGGTTTGCGCTACTGTGCCCGGCTAAAATATAATTATTTTGGGTAAGGAGTTAAATTCTTTGAAAGTAATTTCAGGTACCACTAACCTTAACTCTGCAGGTACCTTCTAAAAATAAGGACGACCTAGGGCCTGGGGATGTAGCTCAGTGGTAGAGCTCTTGCTCTATGTGTGAGGCTTCGAGTTTGATCCTCAGTGCTGGGTGTGGTGTGTGTGTGTATGGGGTTCTTTGACATAGCTGCAAAAGCATTGACACCCTAAAGAAACTGAATAATTGTTCCCCAGTATCATCAAATATCCAGTCCAGATTCAAATTTCCTCACTTGTCCCCTTAAAGTCTTTTTTGGTTTGTTTGTTTGAGACAGGGTCTCCCTATATAGCCCAGGATGGCCCTCAACTCACGAGGTAACCTAGGCTGGCTTCAGACTCACAGCAGTTGCCCTGCCTCTGCCTCCTGAGTGCTGGGATTACAAGCACGTGCCATGCCTGGCCAATGTTTATCTTTTAACACCAGGCACCAGTCAAGGCTCCCTCATGTGCTGTCTGTTTGCCCTTGAAGCCTTTGATGATCCAGAACATGCCTCAGCTTCTTTATTTTCCGATGACAGAGTTTTTGGAGCAGCAAGGCTCGTTGATTCTCGGAATGTTCTGCCTTCTGGCTGTATCAGTGACGCCTTCGCTCACTGCTACAGTCCCTGTGCTTCCTTGTACTGGTAGTTCAGCCATGATTAAATTCAGACAAAACTTTTTTGGTCAAACTACTTCATAGGAAATACTTCTTTTTTGTTTTTTGAGACAAGGTCTCGCTATATAGCCCAGGCTCTTCTTAAACTTGAGGTGATCCTCCTGCCTCAGCCTCCTGTGTGCCCACGCCTGGCTTTTCATAGGAAATGCTGTATGAGTTTTATATTACACACATCTGGCCATCCATCAGTGATGCTAAATTCAATCATGTGGTTGAATGGATGATTGTCAGATACTTTTCTCTTTTTGAAAATAAGTAATCTTTAGAATGATTCCTTGATTTTGTGCAATTACCCCAATTATTTTTGATATTCTTCCTTTTTTTGTTGTTTTTTTTGAGACAAGGTGTCTCTGTGTAGAGGCTGGCCTCAAACTCCCAGCAATCCTCCTGCTTCAGCCTCCTGACTGCTGCGATTATAGGTGTGTGCCACTACGCCGGGTTTTCATGTTCTTCCTGATCTTTGACTGCATTTATTTTGAAAACTTGGATCTCCCTTGCATCCCACTTCTGGGTACCACGGACACAAAGTTTCTGCATCAAAATCACAGGCCTCACGCAAAGGGAGAACGTACTCTTGTAAGATATTAAGAGCCCTGGGATTTAACCCGTCTGGTACTAGGTCCTCACCAAGAGGAAAAAGAGCAAGTGCGTATTCAGCGTATGCTCTGCACTAGGCACAGTGCTAGGGTTGTTAATTCTTTGTATTTTGTGGGACAGGGCCAGACCTCGTGCATGCTAGGCAAGTGCTTTACCACTGAGCTGTATCCCCAGCCCTGTGCTAACTTTGAGAAGACCAAAAAATGACACATAGCCCCAGTATGTGGGGAGCTTCCAGGGTGATGAAGACGCTGGTGGTTTGAAGCAGGGCAAGAAAGTGACTCTCCAAAGGAGCAAAGTTACTGAAGTGACACTTGGTTTCCTCCACCCTCCCACCCCCCATCCCCTTCTTGATATGGATTAAACTGAGCTGTGGGAAACTTTCGATGACTGCCTTCGGACAGGAGAATTCTCCCTCATGTTACATAGATCTCCGTATAGTGACTGGAGTTTCAGAAATCTTACGTGTATTTTCTTATTTAATGTTCTTCATTACCTTATGAGATGGGGTGGTTTCCTTTATTGTACAGAGGAAACTGAAGCTCAGGGGTTGAAGTGATTGCTGAGGACCTCGAGTCCAGGCCTCCGAGGGAGCCCCAGCGTCTCCTCAGGCTGCGTGGCTCTCTGGCAAGAGACCCTGAAGGTTGATAGCAACTGGAGGGTGCGCTGTGTCCCGTGTTTGCATAGGGTGCATGGAGATGCAGAACTGATCAGAAGGGCAAGACGTGATCGAAACAAGATTATTCCTGGAATCTTTTGAGGTAGGCTTTCCCGAGGCCTAGCATGGTGGTGGACACCTGTTATCCCAGCACTCAGGAGGCTGAGGCAGGAGGATCACTGCAAGGTCAAGGCCAGCCTGGACTACATAGTGCTCTCAAGGCCAGTCTCAGTTACACTGCGAGACCTTGTCGAAAGAAAGAAGAAAGAAGAAAGAAAATAGAAAGAAGAAGGAAGGAAGGAAGAAAGGCTTCCCAGGCCATCATCTCATTATGATGAGAGGGACTTCTGCGGTCTCAGGACATGAGCGGTGTTAACCAGTTACAATATAGGATTTTTTCTTCCTAGTAAGCAATAGGTTAAAATGTCTGTTATTTTTCACAAAACTGCTCTTCTATATTTCCTTTTTCACCCTACACCCTTTTCTTAGCCTTCCTGTCAGTCTTTCTAACTTCCCATTAAAACCACAGAAGCAAAAAAAAAAAAAAAAAGGAGAGAAAGAGAAAAATCAAGTAGCGCATTAGTAATTACAGGCAGGAAGAGATATCCAAAGTAATGCTACAACCGCCGAAATGGAAAGTATTGTATATCTTCGTCTTTTGAAAGTTCTATGTTAACATTCTGGCAGCTGTGAGTGTAGACGCGATGTGACCGTAGATGGGAGACGGCAGGGTTCGTACCACTCCCTGGGCCTCACTAACTCCTCCACGAGGCTGAGGACTGCCCAGGAGCACAGAGGAAGCTTTGTAGGTATTCACAAGGAGCGGGTCGCAACTTAGACTGTGGTGTGTAATTAGATCTGAAGGAGAGAGAGATTGTGATCCTTTGGGGGCCAGAAACCTGTGAACCACCAGGGAAGGCTAATCGTGTGGGGAAGGGAAGAAAAGGGCGCATTTCTAGAATAAAACTCCGGTGCTCCAATTGGGTGGCTCTTAGGATAAGCCGTGATTAGCTCGGGCCAGCTGTCAGTCAAGCAGTGTGGGTATCAGCTATGCCAGCTCCCCGGGCGCCCCCTTAACCACCAGCCTCGACTCATGTAACAGACAAGGGCTGGGGTTGGCGCTGGGCCTCAGAGAGTGCTGGAGACAGGCAGAGACCCTGAAGTGTAGCTCCATTCTAGACACACGACTCCTGGGCTCCCTTCCCTCCTTGTTCAAGAGTGACG